GAGCTGCTGGAGGGCACCGCAATCACTCACAAAACATGCCCCTTGGTTCTGGGCCAGGAGGGGCCATGGCCGTGCATTTAAGTAAATGGCACCGCAGCCACGCACTCCGCCCGCAGTACGATCGGTTGCATGGCAAAACATTCCCTGTGTTCCGTTCCACTGCAAACGCAAAAAATAGAGCATGCAGCATTTTTTGCATTTGCAGTGGAACGGAATGCAGGCAATGTTTTGCCACGCGTCCAATCGCACTGCGGGCGCGGGGCGTGGCTGCGGTGCCTTGACTTCAATGCACCGCCACACCCCCTCCCACCTCAGAATAAAGGTGGAAGTTTTGTGAGCGATTGCAGTGCATTCCAGCAGTACCCGCACTGGAACGCAACGCAATTGGAGTGAACATGCCCAGAATCAGGTAAGAGAGCTTTGCCTTGCCCCTTGCCCAGGAGTTTATTTGTGAAGAAGTGTATGCCAGGGTGCTAGGGATGTTTTCATTATGACACCTAGACATGTTCCCTCCTTCTTCCTCTAGACAAAGGTACATTGAAAATAACGCCCAACAGACCTTTCAATGGAGTGAACTTTGGACACCAATAAATGTGCTCATTAAAGCTGCTTCTTGAGGTACAAACCATCATTCCAAGTACAAGGTTAGCAAATAAAACGGCTAAAATGTTTCATATCCAGCAGCAACAACAATATAAAGGCAAAGACAAGTTATCACTAAAAACATATACTATCAATACATTAAAACACTGACATTTAGATTGCTAAAGCTGTTTTTCATGGCATACTATGTTTACCATTTTTTTTTATCCTGTAAGGCCCCAGGCACACTTGCAAATGGGACTGATTTGGTAAATTTTACAAATTGCTCTGTGATACTCATGTGAACAGTTGGGAAGCGCTATACAAAGCGATGGCAACTGACAGTGCCCTCAGCTGTTTGCATCCATTCGCATGTAAGCAGACATGCTGGGATTACCTGTGGCTGATTGCCTCTGGATGCAGCTTTTCACATTACTCCCACTGAGCAATTTGTGGGACTTACTTAATTGACCCCATTCGCAAGTGTGAATGGAGCCCTATACATCTCAGTGCTGCTGATCGCCAGCTTTATTCAGCCACTTCCTGTGTACATGCATTCACTTCAGCATGAGCTGCAAATCATTGCTCTGGACCAGTTTCCTGATAGCGAAAACAGAGGACCATACCTGCTGAATGTGTGTCACCCTGGTCACTTTCAGTCTCAAACAGATGAGCATGTGACAGTGTGACAATGCAGGAGCACACATGGGGGACTGTTGTCCCCCTATAACAGGAAGAACCTGAATGGTGAGCTTCATGGCAGGATCACTAGGTATTCTTGTAACATAGTCTGCAGATTTAAAGGGTTAGTAAACCCTCAGTGTGCTTTTGCATACATTTACTGCTAGTTTTTTTTTTTTAAAACACCTTTTCAAACAGGTTTAAACTTACCTGTGTCTTCGCCGCACACTCCCGTCCGAACATCTGAAGAGTCTTGTGCGGCCGCAAAGGATCTTGGGGTGGGTGCATGTGCAGTTCAGATGTTCACCCAGGAGACGAGGAGAGACACGAGGTAAAGCTGGCCATTCGTTGTGCGATGGTTGTGAGATAATTAAAATTTCGTATGATCTGCCCATCTTGGACAGGCAGATCGTACTTGCGATCATCGCAAGCCTCCCCGCTGTGCGGCATTCATCTCCCGACCACGCCACCAACCCGCCGAAAATTGTACGATTTTCGGCAGGTTTTCAAGAATGCGCGGAAGACGAATGTATTGCGACCTTATAGTAGAAGAGGTCGCACGCTGCCTATACACCTGCCGATTATCGTAGGATCGCGGGATCACCCGCGATTATCATACAATAATCGGCAGGTGTATAGGCACCTTACGTCTATGGAGCAGTGCGCACCCACACAGACTCCGTGGGACATCAGAGAAAAGGAGGACGGAGGAGTCAGGGCTGGATCGGAGACCCGCACTAGTGCTGGAGGGACATCTGAAAACTACACTAAAGAAGAAGATGATTGGATTAAGAGGCATCATTTAACCCCTACGTGACGGGAGACGTACAGTGTACGTCTTGTCACTTTGTGCCTATATGACTGGCCACGTACACTGTACGTGACGAGTTATATCAGGCTTTGTAATGCCGGTATTTGCTGATTAGGTAAATCCATACACTAATATTGGGGGGAGGGGGAATTATCCTTTAATGTCACTTTAAGATTGCAGATTGAAAAGCATGTCAAAACTTAAATAAGATTTCAGCAGTTGAGTTTATATCTTTTAATTATCCTTGTATTCAGTCAGGCAGAGGCCTTTAGGATTTTATTATATTAGAATTCGTATAGGTAGTTATATCACGCACGCAGGGTAAAATGGTTGGTGGAGTGACATCTGTATGTCCATGAATGACTGATTGGACCACAGAGACCCACTGATTCTTCTGAGTCTGACAGTGATGACTGGTTTCAGTGAAATTGGTTTAATTGCTTGGCCACTTTAGGACTGGCTAAATACTTTCTGATTTTTGACAACAGTGCAAATGATCAGAACACCACTTGCGATAGTAGGACACAAGCAGAGATGACAATAATGCCTCATTCACATGGGGCATACACATCCGTGCTGCGTGCAAACCCGTAAATGGGCCGATTCTGGGCGGGACAAGTGCTGCATGTGATTACACGCAGCAGCCTGTTCTTCCCTATGGGAGGATGCAGCTGTTTGCTGTTACACGCACACCTGAACGGCACATCCGTGCAGGTACGTGTGTCCACACTTGGACACAGATAGGATGCATTCTGTCTGCGTCCAAGTGCGGACATCCGTACCCGCACGGATGGCAGGGTACAGCCAGCCGCGTCCTCTCATAGGGAAGAATAGGCTGCTGAGCGCAATCAGACGCAGCACCTGTCCCTCCCCAGATCGGACCCGTACTTGCCTCACGGACGTGTACTCCCAGTGTGAATGAGGCCTAAAACTACAATAAGCATAAAGGAGCACAGGAACAATGTTAGGACTGGTTAAAGCGGACCTTCATTCTCTCCACACATTTTACTTTGTTGCACTCCTACCTCCTTCTCGAAATAATTTTTATTTATTTTCCCCAAAATACCTTTTTTCTTTGACACCCCTCCTGGCACTTCCAGGATTCTCACCAAGATAAGACATCCCATCCTCCCCCAGGCTCCTAGAATACTGACATCATGCATCCCAGGAGGTAGGGCCATCCGTATAATGAGGCACCATGAGGCTGTTGCCTTAGGCAGCATCTCTTTGGCTCACGTGGGTGGGGGGGGGAGGGGGGGGCGGCAGCCGGAGCGGAATGGCCGCTTTGTTGCACAATGTTTGCAGTGTGCCTGCAGCCTCCTTTCTGGACAGAGTGTTCCAGATTGCTAAGAGCTAGACGGGGAGATGTGTAAGCGCCATACACATCTTCCCACCAGGCTCTTAGCAACCTGGGAAACTCTGGATGGTGTCCCACTCAGCTCCTTCAACCATGTCATCATTGAAAAAGCCATCCACTGAGTGAATTCCAACCCGGTTTATCAGGAACCAGACGAATTTTGCACAGTGTATGGGCAGCTTAAGATATCTATGGAATGCTGCAATTGTTTTGGCCTTTGTTAGGCTTTAAACCACAGCGATCTGTAACTCATAGCTGAATTTATTTACCAGTTCATAACAAACAAACACAAATCAGACTGCTGGAAATTGAAAAGAGCAATGCCAGGCAAAAAGCATTTTTAAATCAATTTACAAAGCAATTTCAATCACTTGGATACCAAAATCTGCAAACAATTGAGACGATGGGTAGCAGATTGCTGTGGATGAAAGCTGGAAAGCTCCAGAATTGCCGACAAAGCTGCCAAGTATTTGGCCATAGCAAGATCTATTTAATCACAGCAAATCTCCGAATGTGTCACAGAGAAACTGTAAAGTGTCTCCATATTCACAAACAAACAGAAGCAAGTATGACCATGCAGCAGCCCATCATTTCAAGTATAATATTAATGTTGTGTCTGTCCTTGTCCAGATAAACCAAAGTAAACCTTTCGTTACAGCAATGAATTGGGGCTGTCATTTGTGACCTTCTTCAGATAATGATACTTGCCTGACTGTTAAGCTGGAGTCAATACTTTTTGAACCACTGACCCAAAACAATTATATATATATCATGAAAGTCAGATGTCCTTATCAGTATCACTTACAGGTCCCCTCCCCACCCTGTAACTGGACAGTGAAATGAGAAGCAGCACATCAATGAGCTCATCTCTCTGTCACCCTGCTCTTTCCTCCTATTAGCATGCTCCATGCATTGAAGCACACCTGAAAGGCTTCATGTGCTGCTTCTCACTCCCCAGCTCTCAGGTACTTCAAGAGGCTAATACTAGGTCAGATGCAGTTGTTCATATATACAAAAATACCCTGTGCTTGTAAATTGTTCAGTGAGGGTTGTCAGCGCAGGGTATTTTTGCATATAGACTATATTGCCAAAAGTATTGGGACACGTGATAGGTTGCCACCTGTGCACTAAGTCCATCCGTGAAATGTCCTTGCTACTAAATATTCCACGGTCAACTGTTATTGGTATTATAACAAAGTGGAAGCAACTGGGAACAACAGCAACAGCAATTTAGCCACAAAGTGGTAGGCCACGTAAAATGACAGAGCGTGGTCAGCGCATGCTGAAGCGTGCAGATTCAATAGCTACAGACCTCCAAACTTTGTGTATGCCTTCAGACTGGCACAACAACAGTGCATAGAGAGCTTCATGGAATGGGTTTCCATGGCCGAGCAGCTGCATCCAAGCCTTACATCACCAAGTGCAATGCTTTGGATTCAGTGGTGTAAATCACGCCACCACTGGACTCTAGAGAAGTGGAGACGTGTTCTCTGGAGTGATGAATCACGCTTCTCTGTCTGGCAATCTGATGGACGTGTCTGGGTTTGGCAGTTGCCAGGAGAACGGTACTTGCCTGACTGAATTGTGCCAAGTGTAAAGTTTGGTGGAGGGTGGATTATGGTGTGGTGTTATTTTTCAGGGGTTGGGCTTGGCCCCTTAGTTCCAGTGAAGTGAACTCTTAAGGCATCAGCATACCAAGACATATTGGACAATTTCATGCTCCAAACTTTGTGGGAACAGTTTGGGGATGGCCCCTTCCTTTTCCAACATGACGGCGTACCTGTGCACAAAGCAAGGTCCATAAAGCAATGGATGAGCGAGTTTGGGGTGGAGGAACTTGACTGGCCTGCAACCCGATAGAACACCTTTGAGATGAATTAGAGCGGAGACTGCGAGCCAGGCCTTCTCGTCCAACATCAGTACCTGACCTGACAAATGCACTTCTGGAAGAATGGTCAAACATTCCCATAGACACACTCCTAAATCTTGTGGACGCCTTCCCAGAAGAGTTGAAGCTGTTATAGCTGCAAAAGGTGGACCAACTCAATATTGAACTAAGACTGGGATGCCATTAAAGTTCATGTGCGTGTAAAGGCAGGCGTCCCAATACTTTTGGCAATATAGTGTATATCTTTTGACACTTTTTTTTAGCTCTGCAGCGGTAACACAACCATCTTAGATTAAGTTATATGACCATAGCACAGATTATTTATTGATATAGATTCAGGTACTAACACTGCTTAAATTTGAAAAACATATTTATTGATTTATTATTGATTACGGAGCTGTATTCATTTGTGTCTTTTACATCTGCCTAGAGTTCAGCTTTTAAATGATCTATACTTTTGACACAGCAGTCTATTGGCTGCATAGAGGCTGCATTAGACCACTCAACTCTGCTCTGTATCTGGGTGCTGCAGAGGATCATTCAACATGGCCATGTCCTTGTAATAACACTGACAGACTGCTGGGTGTACACTACTAGATTTTTTTTTTCTGTTCAGCGTTTGGGCTGAATGGATAAAAACTAACAGATTCCTCCATCCACACTAAATAGCATGGATGGAGGAATCTCCCACTGTTGCTGGGTTTTTTTGTAGCCAGCTTTACAGAAACATGGTATTGCTCCACATCAGTGAACTTGCACATGCACAACCATTGTATTAGCCATTTCCACACTCATTCAACTGCATTATTGAAATTATAGAGTGAAGTCCAAAAGATTTTTTTTTAACTTTGCCTTAAGCTGCCCACACACCTTACAACTATCTGCAGATTTTCTGTGGTCAGATGGAAAAGGTGCAACAGATTCCTCCGTCTACACTTAACTGTGTGGATGGAGTAATCTCCACCTGGGCCAATCTGTTGCACTTTTTCCATCTAACCACAGAAAATCTGCAGATAAATTGTAAGGTGTGTGGGCACCTTTAAGGTGCCCATACACCTTACAATTATCTGCAGATTTTCTGTGGCCAGATAGAAAAAGTGCAACAGATTGGCCCAGGTCGAGATTACTCCATCCACACAGTTAAGTGTAGATGGAGGAATCTGTTGCACCTTTTCCATCTGACCACAAAAAATCAGCAGATAATTGTAAGGTGTATGGCCAGCTACAGTGATTGGACATTGGACAGAGCAATTGGACATTGATCAGTGAATCTTCTCTCATATTAAGCACCCTACCAGGCTGCTGGAAGTGACAAAGAAAACACCTATTTTGGGATGGCTTACAAACAGTGGCGTAACAATCGCCATAGCGACCTAGGCGGCCGATATGGGGCCCGGACACAGGGGGGCCCGGCCAGGGCCGCCTGGGTCGCTATGGCATGTGGGGTTGCTGGCTGTCACAGACACAGCTCAGCAGCGGCCACGGCACATTTGCCTCATAGCCGCTGCGGAGCTGGGTCAGTGACAGCCAGCCGCTGCGGCAGACGAGGGCTATGTTCGGAATGTAGGCGGGGGCCGCCTCCTCTTACATCACTGGCCAGCGACCGGTGATGTAAGAGAAGGCGGGGCCCGTCGATAGCAGAGGCGCTGACAGGTAGGAGATCTCAGACCCTGCAGAGCCCACTATAGAGAGTCTATGGTGGGCTCTGCAGGGTCACTCTCCACTGGGGCTCTGCAACTAGCAATCACGCGGCCCCATACAAAATTTTGCTATGGGGCCCTGTGATTTGTAGTTACGCCCCTGCTTACAAAGGACAACATGAATCTTCAAATCTACTACTGCATGTGCTTAAAGCAGAATTTTTTATTAACCCTTGGAGTGGGGCTACCCTCACACTGCAAGGGTTAACTGCTTTTTTTTTTTTGTCTAGCAGTCTGCAGTGGTCTAAGGTCCCACAAACCATCAAATTCTATACACAGTGTATAGATGGGAGAATACCAAGCAACATTCCAATGCTGCAGTGTAGGAGGAAAAGGCTTCAGTGACCAGAGAAGCAGGCTGCCGGCTCAGCGGTTCAGGTGATTATAACTAAATTGGATATCACATCTGAGTACATCCTTGGGTAGGTGCTGTAACCATAACTCATTAACAAGTCAAAGGGAATTACTTCATATAATCACACCACAGTGCAAGGTTTCAGGCCTTGCACAAGACTCACTTGTTAAAGCATGTGTTGGGGAATATCCCTTAATTTCCTGTCCTTGTGACACCAGTCACTGAGACAGGAATTGAGGGGGAAGGCTGTTAGTGTCAACCTTTCCAAACAGCGTTGAAAATGTAACCCTCACTCACTGCATTCAGTGCTAGTCCACACTAAACGCGGCCTCTGGACGCAGTTGTAGTCTGTGCCTTGGCTGCATACAAAGTGACTGATTAGCTGTGACGTTTCTGTGCAGCCAGAAACTACCCAGAAACACCATGGATGCAAAGTCTGCCACCTGAGTAAGATGTGTAAAAGAGTAAGGTGTGTAAAAGGGTATCACTGGTGGAGCACGTTACTGGGAGGGGGATGTGGTGCATGGGTGATGCACAATACCTCTGGGTCTGGCTCTGTCCAGCGTCCCATCCAGCTCACTGACATCACTGGTTACCAGGAGCTGGGCAGGATGCCAGCCAGAGCATCCCACTCAGCTCCTTACAACCAGTGACCTCAGTGAGCTGGGTGGGACACTGGACACAACGTCACAGATTGCTCCATGTGCAACGTTTCAGGGTCTCACAGGATCCCCTTCATGAGGCAGAAGCAGCTTCTTTCTGCCTGATGAAGGGGATCCTGTGAGACCCCGAAATGCTGCACCGACTGTATCATGCTATGCGGCTTATACATCAATAAATTGTATTTGATTTCCTATTGGAGTGCCGGTGTCTATATTTCTATTTCTTTTTTCTTTTTTTTTTTACAAAGTCTTTATTTAAATTTTTCAAATAGTTTTTTAGAACAAGGTACAAAAACCATAGAATCAACAATACATAAGAATAACATAGACAAAGAGGTAGGAAGAACCGTTGTATAGGGGCCCCAACAATAGGAAATAATATAACGGCATTGGGCAGACCTGAGAAGTACTCTGAATGGAATCTAGCATGTCCCACAGCATTAATAAAAGGTAGCACCAATATGCCAAGGGTGACTTAACTAGGATCATCGGGCCTGTACTACACAGGCAGAGGAAATCGAGTCAACAGAAATAAAAAGATATATATTTCTGATTGAGGCGGTTGTCATCAGCAGCTGCAGCACCCACTTTACTAGTTTGGAACAGCGGTTCCGAGTGCGATGGGTTTATGGACTGCAAATGCCTCAGGCTGGCTAATTATAGGGACGGCAAGAGGCTCTATTCTGCATTAATTACGATTGACGAGCAGTTATGTGAAACAGTGGTAGCATGGCTGTTTGCACACACACTGTGAGCATGCAGTGTTTAGATCTGCCAGCAAGAAAAACTAGATTCATGCCGGCGTGTGCCCCCAGTTGCCCGTGTGAATAAGGCCTTAATGTTACTACTATCAGCAGGAACAGGGTTAATTGTGTGCCCAACTCTGTGCCTGTTCTCCACCTCCCACCTGTGTATCAGGACAAAACACCCCCTTACCATCCTATGATTTAGTGAGGACATGGGACACAAGAATAGAATGGGTCAAGCAATTAACTCTCTCCTTGCCGATGGGGAATAGTTATATTATCTATATTACAACATTTATGTAAGTAGGTTAATATTTATTTTATTTTATGTATGTGTATGTATAATTGGAGGAAGGGGGGAGTGAGAGTAGGTTAGTGAGGAATTATTGCTTTTATATCTATTTCCTCAAACTGTCACCCCTAGAGCCCCAAATGTTTATTGCTCAGGACTATCGGCATGTTAATCTGACCAACAGGAGGTTAAAGATCTATTACCCCCAGTTAGCACCTCAATTGAAATGCATTGTGCTGCTAACCTTTTGTGCATTGCTTTTTATTTATTTATTTATTTTACTGGTTATCACTATAATTGCTTTAAACCAAACTGGCCTCATATTTGCAAAAGCTGTTTTTTCCCTTCTTAAGAGTGTGACAAAAACTTGTTTTCTTGAACAACAGGATAAAATTGTTCATCTATAACATTAGAATCATCTATAGATTTGCTGCAGGTCGTTTTGTTAGCCTAGACGTGGCCTGGGCTCTGGGACACTACTTTTTCCTAACTAGGAGCGAAAATAAAATAAAAGTCTTTCATGGTAAACAAATCCAGCTGATTCTCTCCACACAAGACATGAATAGCCGGAGGAAAAAAAAAAACTTTCGATAAATGGTGCATTTTTTTCTTTCTCTGCTGGGTATAGCATTCAAGATCAGGCCTGTATTCAAGATGCAGTAAATTTTTTTCTCAGCAAGAGAGTTTAGAAAAGAAGCGTGGGGTCTATTCACAAACCTCTTCCCCCCTTCTCAATTGCCTGGCTGTATGAAACCTATCTTCCATGCCTTGTCAGACTATTCCTGCAGACCAATTGCAGGCCTCCTTTGCTAAATCTTTGAGCATCAAGAAAGGACTCTTGAATCCCCTCCACCCCCTCCTTATTTTGTCTGTTTCAGTCATTAGCCTGTGTAATAATTAATATGACAACTGGACGCTGCAGTCTGTATAGGAACACCTCCGCTACAGAAGAAATGAGAAGCACATAAAGCAGAAGGATTGTTCCATAACCGGGAGGTTGTAGATATGGTTATTTTTTTAATAAGATAAATAAAAAAATAAACCAATATGAAATAAACACTTTCTACTCTAAGACTCGGTTCACACCAGACAAGCGTTTGTTTGCGATACGTTGACATGCATTCACGTGTTTTTGAAGCTGCCCGTACACCTTACAATCTAATTCTACAATTCCTTAATACCTCATTCACACTGCAAAGAGCCGGCCCGTACAGATCCGTGCGACTTGCATGGCTGTATGGGGCCACTCCCGCGAAGCAGTGGCTTCACAAGGGGGGTGCGGCCCGCACCCGGGTGCCACCAATGACAGTCATTTTGGTGTCACCCCCTATGAAAAGTCGGGCACTCGGTCACAGACCTCGGTCGCGGTCTACTCAGTGACATCTCAGCATGGATGTCACACCACTAACTCAAACTCAATCTGTCAAAAACTGAGCTTATAATTTTTCCTCCTCTCCATGTTCCCTTCCCCATCACAATCAACAACACTACGATCAACCCCCTCCCATCAAGTCAGGGTATTCGGTGTTATCCTTGACTCTGAGCTCTCCTTTCAGCCCCACATCCAATCACTATCCAAATCTTGCCGACTCCACCTCTGTAAGATTTCCAAAATACGCCCCTTTTTAACAAACAAAACCACAAAGCTTCTAATTCACTCCCTTGTAATCTCTCGTCTCGACTACTGTAACTCCCTACTTGTTGGCCTACCACTAAGCAGCCTATCCCCCCTTCAGTCTATTATGAATGCTGCTGCCAGACTCATCCACCTTACCAACCGTTCAGTGTCTGCCGCCCCTCTATGCCAATCCCTCCACTGGCTCCCACTTGCCCAACGAAAAAAATTCAAAATACTAACAACAACATACAAAGCCATCTACAACTCCACCCCAACCTACATCACTGAGCTCATCTCAAAATATCACCCAAACCGTCCTCTCCGCTCCTCTCAAGACCTCCTGCTCTCTAGCTCTCTCATTAGCTCCTCCCATGCTCGCCTCCAGGACTTCTCCAGAGTGTCCCCCATCCTCTGGAACTCCTTACCCCATTCTGTCCACCTATCTCCTACGCTGCCCACCTTTAGGCGATCCTTAAAAACCTATCTCTTCAGGGAAGCCTACCTCATCTCAACATAACTGGCTTTTACTTCCCCCAATAACTCAATCCAAACAATTATTACCTTTTGTATCACTTGCCCCTCCTACTAGATTGCAAGCTCTCACGCGCAGGGCCCTCCCAACCCTATTGTTCTGAAACTGTATTGTACTGTAAATTGAATTGTAACAGTACTGTCTCCACTATTTTGTAAAGCGCTGAGCAAATTGTTGGCGCTATATAAGTCCTGTATAATAATAATAATTTAGGTAAACCTGGCCGTAGGGCAGCAAAGAGAGTAAATCCAGGCCCTGAGTATGAGAGTACCCGAGTGCATACACATTGAATAAATTGTTTAGGTAGGGCTTCTATTGTATAGTTCTGGTGGATCCAAAGAAGACTGAGCTTTAGATGTGTCGCTCTCTGTTTTTTTAAAGACCCCGGGTTGTATGGACTTAAATGGCAAATGCGGGTCAACATACCCATAATGTGACTTGCAGGACTATTTTTTCTCAACTCAGCTCACTGATGTGAACGCTTACTATTTAAAACAATATACTCTTTTCCCATGCATTTTGCAGCATTAGTACAATGTGCAGCAAAATGCATCCTATGTACTTTACTGGGTAGTGTAAAGGTTTGGCTTTAGAACTCCTGAGCCCTGTTAACTTGGGTGCCGATAAAACCTACGCACAGCATCAGCAATAACCTCCTCTGCAGGGAGGCTGAATACCAGTGGGGCTCTAGCTTTTGCTAAATGTCTAATTACACCAACCCTTATTTTAGACATACATTAATCCAGCCCTTTTCAAACTTTTTATCCCAGAGGAAGCCTTGAATTAGTTTTCAGGTCTAGAGGAACCTGCTAAAAACAATTCATCATGGGTCAGTGAGAAAAATGTCCCATACATTGGTGGTCAATAGGAAGAATGCAACTCTTACAGCTGTGGTCAGCATGCCATCCTTACAGACAGCTAAAAAAAAAACAATTGTTGGCTCTTGCAAGTGGGATTGGCCCTAGAATTATGCAGGCACCATCAAATGGGAAGTCAATCAGCCATAGGTCAAGGAACTCCTAGCAACCTCTGGAGGAACCCTAGGGTTCTATGCAACTCTGATTGAGGGATTGCATTACTCTATATACACATGCAACTCAATCTATTCAAACATTGGTTGAGAAAGTCATGGAATGCACAGATCTACCAATAACTGATATTTCAGTTATAGTTGGGGCCTGCTGGAATCGATCACTCACTGGCTCCCATATCCCTTGAGGAATCCAGTGGCAAGCTCTTCCAGCTATATTTTCTGGCTCTGTTTCCACCCACCTTTGGTTACTGGATTTGTCTATTTATAGAAACCCAGATGAGTGAGCGCAGAAAAAGACCAAGTGGTCTTTTGAGTCATATATTCATAATTTGATGTACCAATTACATGCAACACATAGCAAGCTGGCATAGTGGCTGTGGCTATGATCAAGATTAGGAACTCTCTACCAAGATCAATGAATTTTGCTGAATTGACCCTTTAATTTCTGAGTGACAGCAAGCACCTGTTAGCGCAGGGGTGGTCAGCTCTGGCCCTCCAGCTGTGCTTTACCTACAAATCCCAACATGCCTCTGCCTCTGGGAGTCATGCCTGTAACTGTCAGTCTTTCGATGCCTCATGGGACTTGTAGTTCCTTAACAGCTGGAGGCCCGAATATGCCTACCCATGTGTTAGCGCTTCCAGTATTAATGACATCTTACAGAATGGAAATCAGGGGATGAACAAAAGGTATTCTCTGTTCTTCATGGAAATTATTCTTCATTGTACATATGCAGAATGTTTAAGATCTGTGCATAAGTGAGCTCCCTTAGATTTAAACATACTCCATATCCATTAGACACTGGCTTGAGCAAAGCCAGAGATGAACAAATGATTTAGGAGAACACAGAGTAAATGACTCCAAGAATGGGGTTTACATAAGGATTTGTGTTAATCCCCCACATACGCCCAGCATATACTTACCTTTGCTTTGCTCCCATTGGCACATGTTCACTTGGTCAATTGTATGCAATAGCCATGCTCATAACCTGTGTCCAGAAGAATAGTTTAAATATTTCCTTGTATGTTTGCAAGAATACTATGTTCTCTGAGTCTGTACTTTAGGATACGGAGGCTAATGTTTATGGTGCAATCCTTCAGAGGTAACCGTACCACCAAGAAATTGCCCACAGTTCTGTTTGGCACAGTCTGTACCATCTTTTCCTGAAAACTCTTCTTTGCTAGTCATTGTCATGACATAGTATGCATCGTGGCTCTGTAGACGTTTCAACACTGTTATTAAATGATGCAATATGTCCACCTGATGCCTTAGTATGGAAATCTTATTTACATATAGCACCTTTTAACTACACAATCCTGTTTGTGCATACATAATGGGACTTTAAGCAAATATTTATATAGTTATTTTATGAATCTTGGGTCCTTGCAAAGACTGCAGTTAAACATAAGATAAAAGAAAGCTCAGTTATGGAATTTTCTATAAAGAGAATACAAGCAAAACAGCAAGTGGATTTGCATATTACAAGGCTTTACGCGCAAAGTGCACCTGCTCCAGTGAATTGTCCTTGACTGAAATAAAGAGAAACATTCCTCTGTATCACGTAGCCTCAGAAAAATCATCAGTCCATATTAGAGCATTAAGCTGAAGATAGCAAGTAATCCATTGTGTTGTTTAAGGGCCCATTTACATTTTTGCGTTGCGTTAACATGTGTTTTGTCACATGCTAACATGTGTGGCGTTAAGGCAGCCCATTGAAATGAATGGGTTGCCAGTGAAACCTGATGTGCCGTAAATCGAATGTCACCTTTTTTTTTTTTTTACCACAATGCCATTGTGCTGCCTTAGAGCAAGTGTGTCCATTGGAAGATTTGCCCTTTATTCCTGTTCCAGGGGCTATTATATGATTTCAGATCTTCTGTCCTGATGACCAAGAATAGAGAAGGTGACTTTCCCAAGTGGGGACACAGCAAAAAAGAAGAGGTTTTAAAACTTCCACACTCTATCCTAGACAGATTGATTTAGACCCACCATTCTAACGTTTCTGTTCGTAAACAATTCGGTTCGCGAACAGGAAGTTCAGCAAAATGTTGCCTCCATTCGCGAACTCTGCGTCGGGTGACGAACACAACTGCAGCCATTTTCCCTACTCTGACACATGGTCATGGCTTCCTCTAGTCGAGATCACAGTTTGATTCGGTTCACAACCAAATCGGTTTGCAACCAGAATCGTGGAACGAATTAAGTTCGTGAACCGAGGTACCACTGTATACTCATCTTTCCTGCTCAGATCAGACATATAAATATCAACAATGTGTAGTCAGATGCGCATGGGCCCCACCTGCTTAGGGTCCTTGGCTGCTAGGAGCCTGTCGTCTCCAACAGAATTAATTTACGCTGTATGCACAAATATTTACAGCGTAAAATATGCTTCATATGCGGGTCCGTGAACGCAGACTTTTGTCTGTGGACCAAGACTGATCAGTGTGCATGACACCATAAAATACCATACTGCTGCATTTAGATCCCTACAATTTAAAAATCTGAACGCAGAGCCTCGTATGCCTGTGTGTAGGAATCAGTTTACTTCAAGCAGCATACAGCCAGCTTAAGTGTTTGAAAAGTTCTTATGACATTGAAACACTCAACCACAATAAACAGTTTTCTTGCAATTCCTTTTTACATTGGACTGCGTTGCCTCTTGTCCTTGTTCCCTCAATAAGCTTCCTATGGGTTAGTCATGCATTATACTTCTACAAATCTGAGTGCATATGATGATCCATATAGCACAGACAGACAAATATGAACATTGGCAGACAGAAACAATTGCTTCCTTTTTCTCTCTTTACATAGTGTAGGGCTTGGAGTTGTCTACACATTCCATTTGGTGATTGTTAAGTAGTGTGTGTCTAGCCTGCTAGGCACAATGCCAGGGATCTGAAGATCTTTAAAGAAGGAACAGAGTTCCTCCCAGGTGTTTGTTGACTCTTTTACTAGCCTGCCCTTCCACCTCCTCCAGGGCTCTTACACATAGAAGTCTAGTCTACAGAAGTGGCTGAGGCCAGTCGTGTGTCTCCATTGTGAGCTCCCATGTCCCCTGTCCATCATCTCCAACAGAAGTCCACATCCTATGCAGCAAGTGCTCAGGGGGAAAAGGCACTTCTCGCCCATAAATCATTTCTCTTCTCTCTTTTACTCCCCCATGTCAACGAATAATGGATAAATATTGACTCATCGTAGAGCTGCAGAGGGAACTGTATGGAAGTAATACTTAACCTCTGTACTTTGGGCTCAGCTCCTATGGGTTTGAAGTGTAAACCCTCTTACGTCTGAGGCAGTTATGCAAAACCAGGCAAATAGTAGCTATTAAATGATTCATCACTGCAATGTCACATGCTATTGTGTGCATGGGATGAATGAAGTGGGTCGAAAGCAAACCAGTTAACTATTCTC